ATAACTAATTTTTATAGAAGTATATTATGTTTTTTATGAACTGTCTTGTGGGATGCTATTTTGAAAAAGATTAAAATCGTTTGTAGTGTTAGAAATTAATGATTATGACTATGAGGAGTTATCCTAGAATTCAATTGATTATGCATATAAATGTGTTATTTTGACCCTGTGCATCTGGTTTGGGTGGGGGAAGGAGATGATTAGAGTTATTGAGATTTATATACTTGTCACGTGGTGTTGGTCTCCATACGAAGCTTTATGGTTAGTCAATATTATTGTCCCACTAGTTCTTCGAGGGGGGACCTATGGTCCACCGAGTGCTCTGTGGTCTTTGGCTGGTCCATATCAATCGTGTGGTAAGCTTGTCAGAGTTTTCAATTAAATGGAAAGAACTTAGCCTATAGGTTCAGTTGATGGAAATAAAAAGGATATAAGAATGGATTTGGGTTCAAGAATTGCATATGACATGGGATCTTTGTTGATGTTTGTATCTTTTAAATATATGAAAAGTATGTTATCTCTTTTGAAATTATCAACTGCATGAGATTAGTGGAAATATTTGTCTTATATGGTTATTATGAGTTTTAAATGTTAAATAAATATTTATCAACTATTATTAGCTTTGCGTATCCCACTTAACACCTTGCTAGCCCATGCTAGGGTGTGTGATAGGTAGGGATTTAATTACTGAGATGTTGTCTCACTCCTATTGTTTTACTATTTTCAAGAAACAATACGTTAGCAAGACCTTCCCGAAGACTCCTGAGCCTCAATAGTTGTAGCTGATAGTGTAGAGTTTCTGGACCTTATTTTATGCAATCTTTTCGTATATTGTCACGTATCAAGACTGTATTCATTTGAGACTTGTTTTACCTTCTCATATTTTTATGTCATTTGTCTTAATAAACGTATTATACATTCTATCTTTGATTTATTTTGTTTGGACACTAGATTAGAGTGCTAATAGTGGGTCTGAGGCCTTTAGGTTGCATGTGATTGAATTATTGTGATCCACGATGTGATAATGGCAATTTGCACAAGTTTAGTTGTTGTTAGTAGTGACTAAAATAGTCAAATCTGAATTGCTATTATAATTTATCATATAGGGGCATTTTGTTTTATAACCATGTTAGCTATGACTAATTTCTCCTAACAATGTTTGTGTGTGAACATGTTATATGATAATGTATGTTGATTACAGATATAGGTTATTTCTTTTTCTAACCATGATAGCCCTAACAAAGGACGAATGCCTTTCTATCATGGTTAGCCCCTCATTGATGTGATTGCTTCTAAATAGCCATGAGAGGGTATGTTTACTAGTTTTATTCCTTTCTATCATGGTTAGGTCTAGTTAGTAAGTGGCGATGTTACAAAACCTGAAGAAGATGCGGCTAACTGGACGAACTGTGACCATTGGACCAATGACGATGAGAGCATTTGGCGCGAGAAAGGCTGAGGACTGATGGGAGCTTGGCAGGAGAGGGCAATGAGGGGAATGAATTTTTTTTTTGGGTGAAAATCTCTTCATTTATGGAGAGAAATTTTGAGAGGAAAATAAGATATGGAACCCACTCTATTTTCCCCCCACTTTTCCTTTCTCTCTTATTTTCTTTCCCATCCAATTCGAGAAAAACTCCATTCCTCTCCCATTTTTCACTTCACTTTTCATTTCTCTCCCATTTTCTCTCAGTCCAAGCAGAGCATTAGAATGAAAGGGAAGTCAAAATTTTCCCTCCCCTCCCCTCATTTATTCTCGTTTTGGTTTACTCCCAATTGGAGGTTTTTTTTTTTTTAAGGGGAGCCAACTTTTTTTCTGACCAATTTATTCTTATATATTTGTGATTTCCCAACTTGGTTTGGGGTGTACTCCTACCTTTCTTCTTCTTTCTTGTCTTCCTGAGCACCACCGCCAACGAAAATGATGAGGAGGCTGGGAGTCTCTTTGTTGGCTTGGCATAAGTCACCGGCGGCAAGTTGATTATGGAGTTGGACGAGAAGGTGCTAGGAGAGAGAGAAGGGGATAGTGGTGGCGGTGGAAGAAGAGGAGGAAAGAGATGAATTAGGGGCTATTTTTGTCCTTATATTATCGTCACTTCTCCCTCTTGTCACTGTCGCAGCCATTCATTATCTTCTTCCACTACTAATATTTCCATGTATCTTTGGGGTTTTATTTTTTTTTCAAATGCATTATTTTATTTATTAGATTTATATTAAAATGTGAATTAATTTATATAATATATAAATAAAAATATAAACTAATATGTAGGGATGAAATAATAAATTGCTTATTACTATCCCTCAATTCCCTCTCGTAAACTAAAAGGGTATTTGGATAAAACCAAACCATGGTTTGGAAAATAGGTTTTGGAAAATAGATTTTTGAGAGAATGGATCTTGTGGAGAATAGATTTTATGAAAGGGTGATTCTGATAAAGTGAGAGTGTTTGGATAGTCATTATTAGAAATACTTTTTATATGTGCAAATTACTAAAAAAGGCATAAGTTAATATGATAATAACATAAAAGATAGATTTTATAATATATTTTAATTTGAAGGAATAAAATTGTTAATAATATATTTTTTACTAACATAATTAATAATATATAAGATAATGTAATCAATAAATAATTAATATGTGTATATATATTCATAAATTATGAGATTAAATATGTTTATAGACAAATGATTATTTTTTTCTAACAGAAAAATATTAATTTGCTTTAAAGATTTTAAATATAAAATGAATAATTGAGGGGTATATCCGTCTGGTCAAAAAAATTCACATATCCATTAGAATGGGTTGGAATACACTCTGATACTCTCTAATTTTTGAGCCAAAAAGCAAATCAATTTTGCTTCTTCCCAAACCATAGTTTTGACTCCAAACCATGGTTTGTGCTTTTTTCTTTTTGTTTGACAATTTTTTTACCCAAAGCATGCCAAATAAACCCTAAATAAGAGATCATTAAATATCTATCTCTTTCTCTCCTTTTAATCAAACTAAATAAAATAACATTAAAATCTTTCCCATTCTCTCACGCCCTACCCTTCCTTCGTTTCCCTAGCCTCTAGTATGCCTCTCCTCAAACCAAATGCGCCTTAACCAAGCAAAGGACCCTTTAATAATAGGGACCACATTCCGTGCTCAGACCAGCGTGGGGCCTTAGTTTTTTTCTTTTGCTTTTTTTTCCCTCTCTCCTTGTTTATCACAAAAAAAAAATGTATTATTTTTTTATTCTTAATATAAGAGTTTATTTACCTTTTATTTTAATTCTAAATATAAGATCCTAATCCATTTTATCTATCATATTTATTTATTTTTTTAAAATAATCATTGTAATAATACTAGTTTTAGCCAATAGATTTGATTAGTAAGAATATTTTAGAAAAAAAAACACATATTTGCTACAAATAAGTAACTTAATTAGTTTTTTTAATCTTCTCAAATTAGTTAACTAACTCTTATATTAAAGAGCTGAGGTAGTATATATTAAAATTATTTTTGGATTAAGTTTCATCCAATACTCTAAAATATTTTTTCATGCGTATTTAGTAAAAATACTGATGTATCTAAAAATATTTTAAAGTATTGGATGAATCACAAAATATTTTAGGGTACTAAACCCATTTGACAAGATATTTCATGATGACAGATGAATCAAAAAATATTTCTAGGATGCCGAACTTGCCTAAAAAATAATTTAGGATGGTGGATAATTGTATCAGAAAATACTTTAAGATGTGAGGTACATATGAGAAAAATACTTTAGCGTGCTAGATGAAACACAATATTTTAGAGTAATAAATATACCCAAAAAAAATACTTTGAAGCTTAAACCAAAAATAATTTTCATGCACATATATATATATATTTTAATCAGAACAGTAAAAAGGAGGAAACCTAAGGTCTCACACTGCTCAGCACTCAGCAGTCAACACTCAAAAGATGCTTTGAGTGCTGAGCACGAAATGCAGACGCGTAGGACCACATTCTGTGCTCATTAGGCTGATAAGCACAGCATGCTCAGTGCCCAAAACACTGGTGTTTTGAGTGCTGACTAGTGTAGGGCTTTAGTTTTTTTCTTTTGCTTTTTTTCTTTCCTTGTTTATCACCAAAAAAATGTACTATTTTTTTATTTTTAATATAAGAGTTTATTTGACTTTTATTTTGATTCTAAATATAAGATTTTAATCCATTTTACTTATCATAGTTATTCATTTTTTCTCAAAATAGTCATTGTAATAATACTAGTTTTAGCCAATAGATTTGATTAGTAAGAATATTTTAGAAAAAATAACACCTATTTGTTATAAATAACTAACTTAACTATTTTTTTAATCTACTCAAATTAGTCAACTAACTCTTGTATTAAAGACCGGAGGTAGTATATATTAAAATTATTTTTGGATTAAGTTTCATCTGATACTCTAAAATATTTTTTCATGCGTATTTAGTGAAAATACTGATGTATCTAAAAATATTTTAAAGTGTTGGATGAATCACAAAATAGTTTAGGATACTAGACGCATTTGACAAGATATTTCACGGTGACGGATGAATCGAAAAATATTTCTAGGATGCAGAACTTGCCTAAAAAATAATTTAGGATGTTGGATAATTGTATCAAAAAATATTTTAAGATGTGAGAGGTACATCTGGAAAAAATACTTTAGCATGCTAGATGAAACACAATATTTTAGAGTAATAAATATACCCAAAAAAAAATACTCTGAAGCTTAAACCAAAAATAATTTTCATGCATATATTTTTTTTAATAAGAACAGTCAAAAAAGGGGGGGAAAAAAACTAAAGTGGCACACTGCTCAGCAGTCAGCAGCACTCACTCAGCACAGCACTCAGCACTCACTCAGCACAGCACTCAGCGCTCAAAGCAGGCTTGATGAGCACAGAATGCGGACGCCTAATAATATATACAAACCACTGAAGCTAGCCTCCTTCATTTTTCTTCATTTACTCTCGGACAAAAAATCAAACATGTTGCCTGCTTCCTCTTTGCCCTTCCCTTCCCTCCTCCTTCTTCCACTTCTCTTCCTTCTCTCAGCTCTGTTCCTATCCCTGTGCCTTAGACGACCTAAGCATGGCCAGAAACAACCGCCAGGGCCACCGGCCTGGCCGGTGATCGGCAACCTCCACCAGTTGGGTACTCTCCCGCACCGATTCCTTCAGTCTCTCGCGAAGCGCTATGGACCCATCATGTCCTTGCGACTCGGACAGGTCCCTGCTGTTGTTGTCTCTTCCCCTGATGCCGCCGAGCTTTTCCTCAGGACGCACGACGTCGCTTTTGCCAGCCGCCCAAGGACTCAAGCGTCGGATTTCCTTTCTTATGGCTCCAAGGGGATGGTTTTCTCTGAATATGGCCCTTACTGGCGCGACATGAGGAAGCTCTGTACTTTGCAGCTTTTTAGCTCATCGAAATTGGAGACGTTTGCTCCCTTAAGAAGGGAGGAATTGGGACAGCTGGTGAAGTCGATTGAGAAATCGGCGGCGGCGAGTGAGGTGGTGGATCTGACGGAGAAGGTGGAGCGGCTTGTAGAAGACATAATGTATAAAATGATATTTGGACGCAACAGGGACGATAGGTTTGATCTGAAGGGTCTTATTCATGAGGGGATGAAATTGGCTGGAGCCTTCAATATTGCAGATTTCGTGCCTTTCTTGGCGCCACTTGATATCCAGGTACCATTATCAACTCAACTACATATTTACTGTTCTTATTCCTTCTGGTAAATTCAATGCTTCAGCCAGCAAATTAAATCTGTCCGTTGTCTAGCTGCATCTCAGCTTTTGATCCAAGAGCGGTCCAAGGTGAAGCATTGAACGCACAAGGGGGGGATGATGGGTATGGGAATTTAAGAGAATTCACGTCTTTTCAAAATAATTCATTCACGGGTGGATAGGGTTATAGCCGCGCATGGCCTGACCTTAATAGCTTAGGGTAATATGCCTCTCTTTTTATGTTTTTCGTAATATTGTAACCTCACATATATTTTTTATTATTAAATTTTATATAAAATAAGTAATACTTTAATGCGATTTTAAATTTTTTTAAAAAAATAAAAAATTCATCATTTTTTTATTATTATTATTATAAGATATTAAAAGATTACGCATTTTATGTAAAATTTAATATAAAAATAAAAAAATATTATAATAGACTTTAAAATATTACGCATTTGATGTGAAATTTAATATAAAAACAATAGGGGATGTGACCCTCTTCATCCTTTCAGAGACGTTATCAAGGAAATTAGAATACTTTTTCATAGGAAATGGCACGTGCGGATGCATCACAGAAATAGGCAACATATTAGAACTGCGGATCACTTAACTAGGTTATCTAGATAGCAATTTTTATACCTTTCATCAAAACCCATCTAACATCCATGAGGTGGTAGTTGACGAGGGGTAGCTTGACTTGTACTTGCTGTGTTGATGTATTGATTTCAGTTTTCATGGGAAAAACAAAAGTCTTTTTTAAAGTGCTGGGGCCATTAATCTCTTCCTGAGACCAGACGAAGTGACACGTCCCAGTATATCATTAATGAGTGGTGTCTAAAGCGCCTGCGTTTTGACTTTATACGCTCCATTCCCATCTGCCCTTCTTCAATGGAACTGCACAAACCTATTGTTCTTTCTCGTATAAGTCATTGCTCAATGGCATATTCAAATTGGATTTCGTTCCATTTTTTAATGAGTTTGAATTACATTGAATAAGAAGTTAGTTAATTATAATTAGTCCGAATGTTTTTCAAATTGAAAAATAGGTCGTATGTTAAAAAAATGAATAAGTTGATCTTGACTCCAAAAAAAAAAAAGATATTAGTAACTATTGGACACACCAATTAAAATTAGATTATAGCTAGAAAGTTAGAGGGTTCAAGTTTCTAAAAAGCAAAAGAAAATGGATGAAATTATGCACAAACAATATAATGGATTAAGCAGCATGGAATAATTAACTTTTGGAAAGATTTAGTATGCCCCCGCCAGCTCACCATTACAAAATCAAATTGAAACCATGGCACGTGGTTGGTTTTAATGGCGGGGGCAACTTGTTTTCCTGTCGTAGAAATATTGTAACTCTGGTTGAGTTATAAGTCTGCACCCCACTTGCTAATACGACACCAGAAATCTCTTTCCACATGCACAAAATAGAGGGAATCACACGTCCTTCTATACCATTAAATTTCTGTCGGCATTACATTATAGAAAGTCCGAGGGCTCAAGTTTCTTTTAAAAAAAAATTGGGTGAAATTATACCCAGCAGATTTAAGTTAACTAATAATCAACTACAGTATTAGTTTTTGGAAGCTAAAGTATATTCCTTTCGATTTAGGGCTTTACAAGACGTTTGGTGAAGACGAGCAAGGAAGTTGATGAGATATTAGAGACCATTGTTAGAGAGCATGAAGAGGCAGCACCAGAAGAACAGAATAGACAACACAAGGACTTCGTGGACATACTACTCTCTTGCATGGATACCAATTACGATGATCACCACAACTTTGTCATAGATCGAACCAACATCAAAGCCATGCTTCTGGATATGATTGCTGCTGCATCAGACACTTCTTCTGGTGTCATTTTGTGGGCTTTTCCAGAACTCTTAAGGAATCCAAGGGTGATGAAAAAACTCCAACTCGAACTAGAAAACCGAGTAGGAAAAAGCAAAATGGTCGAGGAAGCCGATTTGCCAAGGTTGAGTTACTTAGATATGGTGGTTAAAGAGACTATGAGACTACACCCAGTGGACCCCTTACTAGTCCCTCGTGTGTGTAGGGAAGATATCATAATCAATGGCTATTACATAAGGAAGAATTCTCGAATCATAGTGAATTCATGGAGCATAGGAAGAGATCCTAAGGTATGGTCTGATAATGTGGAAGAATTTTTTCCAGAGAGGTTCTTGGATGGCAATATGGATTATCGAGGATATGAGTTCCAATTCTTACCATTCGGTTCTGGTCGAAGAGGCTGCCCTGGTCTGCAATTGGGTTTAATTACTGTTAAGCTTATCTTAGCACAGTTAGTGCACTGCTTCAACTGGGAACTTCCGGAGGACAAGTCTCCAGATGAGTTGGATATGACTGAGACATTTGGTTTGACAATGCCAAGAGCTAATCACTTGCTAGCTCTCCCATCTTATCGCCTACCAATTAATTGATGAATCTTAGTTTGAGGCGTTTTGCAGCTCAATAATAGCTCCACCCCTTATATCCTAATCGATGCAAAGCATGTTATTGTAACAGTAGAAGTTTAATTAGTTAGTCATGTGTCAGTGTAATCTTTAATGGAATGGTTAAAAATTAATTATGTGATAAATTTGTTTTATAATGTCAGTTGTGCTTCCATATTTTCAAATAAGCTTTATATATTGGTTACCTTTTTTTCCCCTTTGAAAGGTAGCGCTTCGTCTATTTTGTGACATATGAATAAAAATATTAGAAATCATTCGGGAAAAAAAAGGTATAAAATATTTGAATAGGCACAATATCGGCGAGCTATTATTTGGGCTATTGCCTCGTTTGTGCACCCAAACAAATAACCAACAAAAAAAAGAAATGAACAAAAGAGAAATGTTGGCGAGAGCCTAGGCTCCAAAAAAATTGGCAAGGTGTCAAAGTTCAAATATGTTTTAAGTTAGCCAATGTAAATTGAGTTTAGGGGAAAGAACTAATTCTTAACAACACAGCAAATTAAGGTTTAGATTCCCACTAAAAAAAGTGATCATATTTAATACTTGACAATAACTTGAATACGATTACGTTGAACGTTGGGTGATCTTATTCTGCAAGAGAGAGGTGTTTGGAAGCACTCCTTGCTATTTTCACTGAAAAGGAAAACGACTGGGAAGGAGATTAGGGCATCTGTCTTTGATCCTCACGGTGCATTATGGCAATCCGTACGTGCTCAGTCTTGTCGACCTGAGGTTAAGTGGAGGTTCCGGGATCATCCAGATTTAGGACTGTTTCTTTATTTCCTTCGTAAAATGGCACACAATTGATTAAGGTGAAAAACGAGGAGGAAGCGAATATTGCTCTATTTAACTAGTGGCTAATAGCAGAGAAGGGTTATCCAGTTTCAGTATTCATTCACCGCCACATGTTATTTGGGCCACAGAGAAACCATTGACTGAAAACACAAAACTCAGCGGCGGCTCTGCTGATGTCACCTTCGCACACCGCGTTTTTCTTTCTGGGTGCTGAAAATCACACCACGTTTCAAACTTTTTAATTTGTTACAGGAAGCTTTCTCACGACCCTTTTAATAATATCATTTGAATACCTTACATAGTCTTTTAATTTTTACTTTTAATATTGGGTGAAGGGATAAATTTACTTATTATAATACTCCTCCGGTTTTTAATATGGAACCTAATTATTGAGGTGATTTTGATATTAAATATAAGACATATTTCTTATATTTATCATTTTTTCTAAATTATCCTTATAGATATCCCTTAACCATAATCTAAGTAGAAAAGAAAGAGAGGATATTAAAAAAGATGATTATGGTGTTTTAGGAAAAACCTGTCATATTTTTTATAATTAACAAACTTACCTAACTTCTTTAATCCGATCAAATTAATTAAATAGATCTTATATTAAATACCAGAGGAGTATTAAAGGAAGTATCAGGCACCGTAATAAGATGCAAGGGACAAAAATGCCCATGAACAGTATAAAAGGATGCAAAAATTACCATTGCCGTTAATTACTTCACGGTTTTGGAAAATTAACGGAGATCGCACTTTTGTCCAGTTTGGTATGTGTTTTTGCTCCTAATATTTTATTATGGTGTTTGATGCCTTTTTTTTTTAATATTATGATGAGTAAATTTGTCCCTTCACCCGTTAATATTTTAAGATTCAAATCTTAATTTTTTTTCAACATGTTATTCAAATAAGTTTTAATTAAATTGATTTTTTTTATAAAAGCCTATTTAAAAATAAATCATATTATGCTGATTGATTTTTATTTTTATTTAAATTTATAAAATAAGTCGACATAAAAGTTACTTTTGTAGGCATAAAAAAAATTTAATTTTGTAAATGTCTAAACGAGTCGTTGTGTAAGTTTTCAAAAATTATTATAAGAGATCAAACATGAAATAATTATTATTTGAGCTAATTTAAAAAAATAAATTATCTTCTCAGGTGATATAAATTATTAGTTTCTTAAACTAATTAATTTTTAAAAAATGGTTTAAATGACTAAACAAAATTTTTAACCTAATTTAAGTAATAGTTATCTCATATTTAGTTATTTACCTTCTCAAAGTCACTTTAAAAAGAATCTAAAAAGAAAATTTAAACAAACATGTCCTCCGTAATCACCTCCCCACAAAACGTTATAAATACAACCCCACCTCATGTGCTTCCTCGTTCAATTCCTTCCCCTTTCTGACACAAACACTCATCTAAAGTCTAAACATGCTGCTTCCACCTCCATTATTGCTACCTTCCCCTCCATTTCTCTTTCTTGCCGTATTTCTCTTCTTCACTCTATCACTTTTACTTCTACTCTCTCACTTCAAACCAACCAGAGATGGCCGGGAACAACCGCCAGGTCCACCTGCCTGGCCGGTGATCGGCAACCTCCACCTGTTGGGTACTCTCCCCCACCGTTCCCTTCACTCTCTGGCCAGACGATATGGACCCATCATGTCCCTCAGACTAGGACAGGTGCCTGCCGTTGTCGTCTCTTCCCCTGAAGCTGCTGAGTTTTCCTCAAGACGCACGACGTCGGTTTTGCCAGCCGCCCAAGGACTCAAGCGTCGGAGTTCCTTTCTTATGGCTCCAAGGGAATCGCTTTCGCTGAATATGGCCCTTACTGGCGCGACATGAGGAAGCTCTGTACTTTGCAGCTTTTTAGTGCGTCGAGAGTGGAGATGTTTCGTCCCATAAGAAGGGAGGAGTTGAGAGAGGCGGTGAAGTCGATAAAGGAATCGGCGGCGGCGCGTGATGTGGTGGATGTAAGTGAGAAGGTGGGGGAGGTGATAGAGGACATGATATGTAGAATCATACTGGGACGCAAGAGAGACGATAGGTTTGATTTGAAGAGAATAGTTCAAGAGACGCTCAGCTTGGCAGGAGCTTTCAATGTTGCAAACTCCTTGCCTTTCCTGCGCCCATTTGATATTCAGGTATCTTTGTTTTTATTCTAGTTTTTAAAAAGAAAATTTGGTTACAGTTTCTGTTTAGAAATTTAATTTGTTAAAAAGATTTAAATTTGAACAAGTACAACTATAATTCATAAATGTGGCTTTTTTTTTTCCTGGCTGTGTGCAATAATTATCAACACGGAAGTCATTTTAACACAGCAAAAGATATATTGCACATAGCAAAAAAAGATTGCACTCACATATTATAACTGCATGTTCTTAAATTCAAGTCCTTTTAGCCAATTAAGCTTTTAAACAAGGATTTTTTTAATCAAATTTTTCTTTTTAAAACTAATCATAATCTTTTGTGGCAAAAAAAAAACATTCTTAATATTAAAGAATCAAATTTCTAATTATTCTAATAAGCTACTCTGAATAGGTTTTCAGAATAATCAAATGCGAAAGAATATTGATGAAAATACATATAATAAAATCTGCAATTACTAAACAATACAAAAAAATAAATTAATACTTAAAAAATAGAAAAAATCACCAAAAAAGACTGTGAAAATAGGAAATTTCAAATAATAACGCATTACAACATCATCAGTATTGATGATAATTGATAAACAAATCATAACAATTTTTGTGAATTAATTCTTGTTTTGTAATTTTTTAATTTTAAGGTTTCTTTTTTGCGATTTTTACAATAAATTAGCCCTTCGCAATAAGTTTTGTTAGAATTCTCAAACCCATGTAAAAAAGGCTACATTTTATTTTTCTTTCTCTTTTGCTTGTATGTATTTAATTTGTTCTGTGGGTCCCGAATCAAAATCTCATACAAGCCAAAAATTTGCGTGTCAAATTGTCAATATGCCTTTTATTATAATTGTACAGTTGGTTACTTTGCTCTCCTTTTATTTTTACTGAAATTTTTTATTTAAATTATACAGTTGGTTGCTTTGTTTACCAATAAGTGATTCTCAGTAAAATATAATAAAACACAGAGAACAAACATGACAGATAAAAACTAAGCTAAAAAATATAATTGCAAAATTTAAATTTTAAAGAAGATAAAAGAATTTGAGTGAAACTAGATTGTTAATTAACTCAGGACACACATGAAGTTAGAAATAAGCCGCAAAATTTTAGTTTTATGAAAAGTACTCCTCCGATCCTTAATATAAAACCCGTTTAACTAATTTGAATAAATTAAAGAAGTTAGATAAGTTAGTTAATGATAAGAAATGTAACACGTTTTTTCTAAAATACCATAATTATCTTTCTTAATACCCCTCTCCCTCTTCTACTTGGTTATGGTTGAGGGAGCATCCATAGGTGTAATTTAGAGAAAATTGATAAATATAAGAAATGAGTTTTATATTTGGGACCAAAACCAACTTAATAATTGAGTTCTATATTAAGGACCGGAGGAGTATAATTTTGTACAAAATTTTGTAATATATATAACATAGTTTACATTAATCCTACAAAAATTTGTTACTGGTACTGATATTAGCCAAGTATTACTGATCCAAGCTTTTACAAAATGCTTAAAGGTGAATGGTAAGGAAATTGATGAATTGTTAGAAACGATCATCAAAGAGCATGAAGAGGCACAAGCAGTACTGCAGAAAATGCAACACAAGGACATCGTAGACATATTACTCTCTTGCTTGAAGGATTCTCACAACGATGAACAAAATCCAGTCAAAGATCAAACCAAGATCAAGGCCATACTTTTGGACTTGCTTTCTGGTGCAATAGACACTTCCGTCACTGTTAGTCTCTGGGTTTTCTCAGAACTCTTGAAGAATCCCAGAGTAATGAAAAAACTCCAACATGAGCTAGAAAACATAGTAGGAAAAAGCAATTTGGTCGATGAGGTTGATTTGCCAAGGTTGACTTACTTGGACATGGTGGTCAAAGAGACTTCGAGACTACATCCTGTTGGGCCATTGCTGCTCCCTCGAGTCAGCACTGAGGATATAACTATCAACGGATATTATATAAGGAACAAGTCACGAGTGATTGTGAATGTGTGGGCAATAGGACGAGATCCTAAGATATGGTCGGATAATGTGGAAGCGTTTTATCTAGAGAGGTTCCTGAATAGCAATGTAGATCTCCAAGGAAAAGACTTCCAACTGATACCATTTGGTTCAGGTCAAATAGGATGCCCTGGCATGCAATTAGGGTTAATTGATGTTAAGCTGGTTATAGCACAATTAATGCATTGCTTTAATTGGGAACTTCCACAAGGTGTTTCTCCTGATGAAGTGGATATGACTAAGAAATTTGGACTATTGATTCCAAGAGCTAATCTCTTAGTAGCTCTTCCATCGTATTGCCTAGCAGAGTGATTGTTGTGCTTAATCATGTTAGTGTAATTTTCTTTATAACCTGAATTGTTTAAGATTATGTAATTTGCGTTATGATTGGGTCTTTCCTTCCATATTTTTTAATAGTTTTTACATAAATTATTTTTAATTTTTTCTTAACAATAGATGAAGAACATAGCAACCGCATTATATTGATGCTCATAGAGTTTGATCAATAGTTGGAATCAAACTCTAGACCTGTTGCCACCAAGAGCACATCTTGTGCTACTAGACCAAATAGTCTTAGGTTGAAATTTGTATTTTACAAAAAAAATAAAAAAAAATAACATCATACACAAAAGACTCATTTTCTTTCATTTCATTTTTATATGCAACGCATACAAGTGACGATATATAGATATATTATGTTCATTTTCTCTCATGTTGCTTGTTTGTTTAAGAAAATTAAACTACGCAAACTAAATAAAACTAAATAAAATTAACAGGATGATCCTGGGATGTGCTAAGGATGATAGATTTACCTTAAAAGGGCTTGTTCAGGAGGCACTGAGCTTGGCGGGACAGTTTAATCCGGTTGATTATGTCCCGTGGTAGGTATACTTGATCTCCAGGTATGTAATATCTCGCTTGTTGCTTGTGTCTTCTATTTGGTCTTACATTTCTCATAATTTCCTCTTGCCTTACTTTTCTCTACATTCAAACTAAGGAATAAAAAGGCCTGTTTAAGCTTAAAGATTTGCCTACATGAAAAATAACATAAAGAATAATGGCACCCAATTTTCTTCTTAATGCTAGCAGGCGTGGAATATTTGTGAAGGACATCTTACCTCAACTTACATTGTTAACTTTCATTGATGACTTATTAAATTAAAGAATTTGCTTTAATTTTGTGCTAGTAGTCGATCATTTTAAGCGCATGATAATTGGATTTCCTTCCATTTTTCTTTGACAATAAATAGTTTCTTCGATATCCCTCTAATGTTATACAGATAAAGCGGCGTGTTTATGCATAACAGCTGGCGAAAACATTGATATATAGATGTGTGAGTGTCTGTGTGTGAAACTCTGGATCGAATGACCTATTTGACTAATGTATGACAGGGTTTGACACGAAAATTAAAGAGAAACGTTATGGCACTTGACGATGTGTTGGAAAAAATAGTCAGAGAGCATGAACAAGCTACAAGAGAACAAAATGGCCAGAGTCACGTCGACTTCGTACACATAATGCTTTCCTTGACACGTCAACCTATGGATTTGTACGACGACCAAAACAGTGTTATTGATAGAGACCACCTCAAGGCTATGTTAGCAGATATGATTTTTGCCGCAACTGACGCTTTTGTCATTGTGGTTGACTGGGCTCTATCTGAACTCTTGAGAGATCCAAGAGTGATTAAAAATCTCCAAAATGAGCTACAAAATGTGGTTGGAATGAACAGAATGGTGGATGAGGCTGATTTAGCAGAGTTAAGTTACTTAGATATGGTCATTAAGGAGACTCTTAGGTTGCGTTTGATAGGAAGCATTGAAAATAAGGGATTGTGATTGGGATTATAATTGAGAAAATCTATTAAGAGAGTGTTTAGTATAAGAGATTGTTTGATATATGAGATTAGCTAAATCCATGTATTTGGGATTGGAGAATACCATGGGGGGAAGTAGTATTCCCCAATCTCATTTTTATGGGTTTGCCTAATCTCATATAATAAACAATTACTCATGCTAAGTACTATTTTAATGATTTTTTTCAATTGCAATCCCAATCCCAAACTCTCATTTTCAATACTTCGTACCAAACGGGACCTTAGATTACATCCACCCACTCCTTTACTTATCCCTCGAGAAAGTATGAAGGATGTCACAGTTAATGGATATTGCATACGAAAAAAGTCCAGGATCATGATAAATGCATGGGCCATCGGACGAGATCCTAAGTTATGGTCCGATGATGCTTATATGTTCTATCCAGAGAGGTTCATTGATAACAATATAGATATTCATGGGCATAATTATCAATTTTTACCATTTGGTTCAGGTCGTAGGAGATGTCCTAGACTTCAAATGGGCATAACCACAGTTAAGTTAGTTGTAGCTCAATTGGTGCATTGCTTTAGTTGGGAGCTTCCTTGTGGCGTGTGTCCAAGTGACTTGGATATGAAAGAAAAGTTTGGCCTCACAGTCCGAAGAACGAAGCATTTGTAGGTTGGTCCAACTTATAGATTAGATACGGACTATTCAAACTGATCATCAAGGTCTAGGGTTTTACGCTATGCCTTTAGTTATGCATCCGGTGTACCTTCTCTGAAAATAAAGGCTCAGAGTACAAGGCCTATCGTTTGAGGAATGATGTGTGTATTTATATATTAGCAAGATTCTCCATACTTTTCCTTCAATCAGTTTTTTAGTTTAACTTGATGCGTTCTATTGTATATGTGTGTTGTTTTAATTTATGTAAATCACATGAAGAATGTACTGTGCTTGTGTGTGTTGAAATTTATTTCAATAATGCCAAATATACATAGCTTAATGTGCAAGATTTTCTATAGTCTATATATAATTGTTTCTCTCCCCTTGTTTCTATTTTACCTAAGCGGTTAGGAATACACCCACTATATATGTGTATATGAACTACCAACAAGAGTTGGCTTAATTGGTAAAAAGTCAGCTCATAATCTATAAGACCGTGAGTTTGAATCCCGCTACCAATATAAGGACCGCATTGGTGGCATCAAATATTTTTGTAAGTGCTTTCTGAGCTTCAAGATATACCTTGGTCTTGGATGGTAAATGACGCAAGCTCCATGGAAGTTTCCATCTTTCTTGAGCACCAAGTGTCCATGGAAGAGCTTCCTTCAATTCAACAGCAATCAGGTCAAAAATTATTGAGAACAAAGAAGATAACGATGCTTGAATATAATATACACATGTCCATATCCATTTATCGCGAAACAAAAGCTCACAATTTTGTATATAAGAAAGAGGTTGATGAGTTTGGATTCTCTTTCTCGAGGGTTTGACACTTTTTTTTTTTTTTAAGGTCATCATTTGTTTCTATGTATTTACGTATTATCTTGCTGATCACGTCATAGGAACAGGATACATATATATTAGCATTCAATCCACTACCATCCAGCATAAGTACAAAATTTATTCCTTCTTTGATCGGTTTCCGAAGCAAACAACCAGACATGTTTCCTTCAACATTAGCGATTCCTGCGATCCTTTCCTTGACATTGATATTGGTGCTATCCACTAATATCCTCTTCCTAAAACGACACAGAGATTGTCAGAACCAACCACAGGGGCCACCGCCCCTCCCAATCATTGGTAACCTCCACATGTTGGGTAAACGACCACACCGTAGCCTTCAATCGCTGGCCCAAAAATATGGTCCCATCATGTCGTTGAAGTTGGGACAAGTTCCTGCGATTGTCGTTTCGTCCCCTGAAGCTGCCGTTCAATTCCTCAAGACTCATGACACTGTTTTTGCGACCCGACCCAAAATACGGGCGGCGGATCCGTTTTCTAAAGGAGCCAACAAGGGAGTGGTGTTTGCCGAGTATGGTCCGTACTGGAGACATGTGAGGAAACTGTGCACCATTCACCTTCTAAGCGCATCAAGAGTGGAGATGTTTGCGCCTTTGAGAAAGGAGGAGGTGGGAGTGACGGTGAAGTCCCTAGAGAGAGCCGCGGCGGCGCGTGAGGTTGTTGATATTAGTGAGATGGTGGGGGAGCTTATAGAGAACATAATTTATCGGATGGTCCTGGGACGGGCCAAGGACGATAGGTTTAACGTAAAAGGGCTGATTAAGGAGGCAATGAGCTTGGTGGGAGCATTTAATCTCGCTGATTATGTCCCTTGGCTCGGTGTACTTGATCTCCAGGTATGTAATGTGCCTATAATCTTTTCGCCTTGAGCATTGATTGTTTTTGAATATTTTTCCTTGCGTTTCTAGATAGAAATTAAACATATATATAGTATGAACTTTAAAAAATACATATTTAATTGGTGTTTATCAGATTTGGATGGTCTAAATTTAAAATTTTTCATTAATTATTTTAAATAAAAATATTTTTGAAAAATGATAATTAACATATTATCTTTATTTTAGATTCTATACCTATTAAAATAATTATTTTAAAAATTAAAATAAAAAGAAAATGAGGTCTGGACTGTCCAGATCATATCTAGACTTTCCAGATTGGTGTTATACTTCATATATAGTGAGCTATTTAATTGATGTTGCCAGGGCTTGACACGAAAGTTAAAGAGAAACAACAAGGCGCTCAAGGATGTGTTGGATAAGATAGTGATGGAGCATGAAAGCACTTCAAAAGAACAAAATTTACAACACCATAACGACTTCATACACATATTGCTTTCCTTGATGCACCAACCTGTGGATCTACAGGACGACCAAAGCCATGTGATAGATAAAGCAAACATCAAGGCTATTTTATCAGATATGGTTGGAGGGGCAACTGACACTTCTATTGTTGTAATTGAGTGGGCTTTATCCGAACTTTTGAGGCATCCAAGAGTGATGAAAAATCTTCAAAAGGAGCTACAAAACGTTGTTGGAATGACGAGAATGGTGGAAGAGTCTGATTTAGCAAAGTTAAGTTATTTAGATATGGTAATCAAAGAGACTCTTAGACTATATCCAGTTGCACCTTTACTTGTCCCTCGAGAGAGTATGGAGGATGTTACAATCGACGGGTGCTACATAAAGAAAAAGACAAGGGTGATTGTAAATGTGTGGGCCATAGGACGTGATCCTAAGGTTTGGTCTGAAAATGCGCATATGTTCCATCCTGAGAGATTTGTTGACAGCAATATTGACGTTCGAGGACATGATTTTCAACTGTTACCATTTGGCTCAGGTCGCAGAGGTTGTCCTGGCATGAACTTGGGTATGACTAGTGTTAAATTTGTTTTAGCTCAATTGGTTCATTGCTTTTCTTGGGAACTTCCTTATGGCATGTCTCCCAGTGACTTGGACATGAATGAAGAGTTTGGTCTCTCAATTCCAAGAGCCAAGCATTTGCTAGCAGTTCCAACTTATCGTTTACATATGTAAATAGGGTAAGAAGCCTTATTTGAAGTTATTTTAGTGTATGTGCAAACTCTGTTGTTCCGTGTACGTGTAAGAGACTGTGTGTGTGTGTGTGAGACAGAGAGAGAGAGAGAGACTGTTATACTATTGTACTTTAATTCAATAATGTAATTTAGAGTCCTTCCATTTATACTGGAAGTTCGTGTTTTAAATTGAATAAATTCACCCTGATTAGTTGTCAACGTTAACTCAGTTGGATCAATACAAAGAGGCACATCACTTTTTTTGTTTTGGAGTGAAAAGCACAACTCATTTTTAATACTCTTCGATGTTTCATACGGGTCTGATGACGGTACTCTGAAGGCGAATTGCTGATACGAGTTATGTTTATTTCTCTTCCACGGACGTTTTCAAATAAAAGGGATTTTTCTTTTGGCCAGCCAACAAATCAAATGAATCTATATATTTCATAAGTAAAAGCAGACTAGCTACCGCTTGGTGTGTGGTTGAGACAATTTCTGCAATTCCGTGCACCAAAAATCATTTAGTTGATTATGAAATTAACATTATATATTAAAACATCTATTATTTAATACTACCTCTGGTCCTGTTTATAAGATTTTGTTTATAGACTATAAATAAGGTCTTATAATTAGAAAAGGATGTATTATCAATTTTTTGTAACCTAGCATCTGTGACTCAGGAGGCGTATTTTGATCCAACACGTATAACTTAATCATAAAATAACGAATGGGTAGTGGATGGAAATAAAATGTTAAAAATAAAAGGAATGTTTGTGCTTTATAACTATTGATTTCAGGGGAGGTTCTTATGGGTTTTAAAATCGAAGAAAATAATCTATAATTAAAATAATATATTCGTCTGTTTTAAATTTTAATATTTCTATTTGATTTTACCTTTCATATACTAAAACTTCCCGTGCATTGCGTGAGATATAAATCTAGCGCGCATATTCATAACATTGCCTCTTGAAGCACTCTCGAAAGTTGGCATTATAAATAAATTTTAATTTGGCTGCTACTTTCTTTTTCCAGCAAGGTATAAATTTATACCTTTACAATAAATGTAAGAGCCATTTTTAAAAATAAAAAATAACACCTTTATTTATTTATTTTACTACACTAGCCATTGAAATCTCTTAACTACGTCTCCACTTTCCAGTAAAAAGCTCATAACTTTCTTTTTTGTCTCTGAAGAAACAATCAAACATGTTTCCTCTAACATTAACGACTCCTGCTATCCTCTTCATCCTTACATTCATATTCATTCTATCCACTTCCATGCTCTTCACAAGGCGACAACAAGATGATCGGAAAGGACCACCAGGATCACCGTTCCTGCCAATCATCAACAACCTTCACTTGTTGGTCGAACGGCCACACCGCAGCCTTCAATCGCTGGCCAAAATATACGGTCCGATCATGTCGTTGAAGCTGGGACAAGTCCCTGCGGTCGTCGTTTCGTCCC